TGTTTTTCTACCAAGGATGAGTTGGTCATCCTATAACCGGAGCTGTTGGCGGTTTGATCCCAGTCAGGTCCATTCTGCGGTTATGGCAATGGGCAAGCCACTTCACCTGCATTACCCTGTATGAATGTGTGTAACTAGTGGGGTGTGTTTGGTGATGGGCAGTAAGCCGTAGGCGTGACATGGCAGGCGCGTTCTGTCAGACTGCCCTAGGGCAGCTGAGGGTTACCAAGGACGCTCTTCACCACCAGTGTGTGAATGTGGAGTGAATGAATAATGGTCTGAAAAATTGTAAAGTGTATTAGAGCATTTGAAAAAGCGTTGTATAAATTGAAGGCACTATTATAAACGTACGTTTCGAAATTGTGAAGAGATGCCATTGTTTACAGGATGTGTTGGTTTCAAAATTTCAAAACATCAAAACTGGCACCTAAAGATCGCGTATCCACACATTTAAAACATGTTTTTTTAAAAATTCCAATTTCCATGTACATGCATAAACTGTACAATGTAAAACAACAACAAAAAAACAGACATTGTCCTATTTAAAGCTTGTTTTTAAGGATAACTCACACATCAGATTTGGTCTGACAATCTGAATATTAAATAATAATCCTTCTGTTTTTATGTGAGTGTATCGGAATGTGAATGAGTGAATTTGATCCTGCATCCAAGCACAAAAAAAAATAAAGGTCAGAAAGTATAGCTCCATCCTAGTAATACTAAAGACAGAATCAATATGGCTGTGCGAATTGCTATCAGCATAAAACAACTGCTGCCGACTTGTGAACGTATCAGCCCATCTATTCCAGCTCTTATCATCACATCAATGGTAGCTCTATCATATTCTAGCTCTACTCCATTTTCCTTTGTAAATTAAATGAAATGTAATTTCCATTTGCGAACCTGCTATTTTAGGAAACTTGCTTGAGCATTTCCTATCTTATTGTAAACCATCCGTCACCTTTTCTTGCTCCAATTAGGCTGGTGAGAGTCGAGTCATGCCGTACGAGGAATCCTATTACTTTAGAGACCAGAGAAAGAAGGAAACAGAACAGTGATTGAGTGTTTGGCATTCACAGCCAAACACAGATTCTGCCGTGGAGGGAGATAATTCAAACGACAGCTCTGAAGAAAGAAGCAGAAAAGATGAAGAGATTCTGAGTAGGTTCAGATCTGACATGTTGTTCAAATCATTTAAGATATTTATTCTCTCTTTCTCTGAGGCGCTCGCATACGGGTCAGTGGTTGAGCAGTTTCTTTTTCCACTTTTCAACTACCACTGCACCGTATTCCATATGAAACTAGTGCCTATATCCTCAAATCTTGTGGGATTTGAAATGTCCCTGGAGCAACAAAATGTGAAAACATGATTGAAGCTTAAAAAGATAAAGAGTGCCTAAATGTTGAATCCAACAGTGATTCCTCATAGGCATAGTAAAGAAGATAATATTGGGCTTTGTGTGCCACGCCTTTGTTGGCTTGCCTGTGTGTTTTATCCTTGACTCCTTTAAATGATTTTCACTGGCTAGCAAAGTGTGTTCTCGCCCAAGTTTTGAAAAAGGATGGCCCATGGATTGCGCCATCTTGTTGGTTGAAAAACACTCCAAGCATAATGTTTCCAACAACATGTTTGAGTTCACCAACCAACGATTTCCTCAGCAGCATTGCATGCAAAACAGCTTGCTTTTTTGTCTCATCTGAACACTAATTTACCATTTATCCATATTTTTTCCATTTGTTTGGCTCAAATGTTCCCTGGCAAACTTACGAGCAGGCTGAAGGCAGGAGTTAATTCCATCCCAATGTACTTTGATCTATATTGTTTTGGAGGGGACTATGCGTTTAGTTTACGTGTAGTTCTCAAAGGGTTCCCAATCGTTATCATGTTCATTGAACTCCACAAGGTGGGATCTTAGTTGGACCACTCTTCAATCAGATTTGTGAATTGATCTGATTGGGCTCATTCAATTAATTTCTTTTCAGATTGGAATGGGTGCATTTTGCAATGCGCATTTGGAAAAATTGGAATCGCACATGGTACAAAAAAAAAAAAAAACCTGGATGGAAATGTGCATAAAAAATTAGAGTAGCACTTTTTATCTGTTAAAAGAAAATGCACATTAAATTACAATGGAAAGGTATTTACGAAACAAATCGCAATGCAATGGCGATTCTTTCTGTCAGAATTGGGGCACCATTAAGTGACTAACCAACGGACAACATCGCAAAACATCTGAAATCATATTTTGGGTATTCTAAAATTCCTTAGGCAAACTGTGTCATCAAAGTGGATTATCACCTCCCCAGTTTTGATTAACTGCATTTCCAAAGAGCTGTCTCCCGCCTCCAAAAGCAAGATGATATAACAGCTCATGAATATGCATTACTTACAGTAATTCAATGAATGAATTTGCAATAATTACTTTGGTCACGCAATCTATTTCTGCCAGCCAATAATATTAAACTGTTTTCAGGTGCAAGGATTTTTTATACAATACAGACGCCGTCGCACAGATATCTGGTAGTTTTTTAAAATTTGAATAATGAATACATCGGGACTCGCATGTATTGGACACATCGCAAGTATTGGACACATCGTGACTCGCATGTATTTCACAGTCTCTCTGACTACGTCCTGACTGCACTCCGCTTTAGCGTCTTATTCGACTGAAGGCTGCGGTGCTGGTGTCTTTTTCCAAGAGAAGAATCCAAAGCTTCATTTATTCCGTAATGGTGCCTTACAGCCGCAGACCTTCTGCCTTCCTTCGGCACGTCCAGAGTTTTGACGTTTTCTGCGATAGTTAGCATCTTCCCCTGCCTTTCTTTCATAAGATCATCTCTCTTAGTTAATGTGATGAATATTCTTAGTCCAGAGATCCGCACTTTAATGATTTCACTCGTTTCTCTTTATTTACATAAATAAATAGAAATGAAAAACACCTGTTTTATTTGTGTCTAATAAATTTATATGACGCAAATGAGGAGCTTTTCCAGAAATATAGCTTTTCATAGAAATATCAGAAAAAAGGGTTAATAATTTTAAACTTAATGAAATAACTGTCAAAATCTGTTTCTCTCTTTCTCCGGCTGCTAATTTTCTCTTTCCCATGCTTTGTCGCAAATCTTTTTCATAGTGCTTGGACAGTGCGCTTTTAAAAGGTAATGTATGGCACTTCTTGACCACAGTCCCTTGGGCAATCAGGAATCAGAACACAACGCAATGTAAAAATTCAAAAGCCGCGGAAGATGATCCGTGTTCACTACGACGAAACTGTAGAAGTTTTCGCCAACTCTCTCTTTCTACTCCATTCTGTCACATAGCATTTTTAGGTATTAAATAAATTTCATTAATATTTAATAATTGTCTTCTATACAAGTACATTGTTCTTATGACGGTCTAAAGGTATTGAAATGGATACCGTTGCCATTTTTAGAACCTGCGGTATACCACCCAAGCCTATTGTACGCATACATTTAATTTGCAACTTTGAATGAAAAAATGGCAATTGGGCTTCCATAAGATTCCAATAATTCAAGCGGCAAATGTTCTGATTGTCAAGGAACAAGTGATTGAGACATTTCCACAGCCTTGTGACCACAGAAAAAAGGCAAGGAGAAACTGGCGTTGATAAAGAGAGCTGGAGGGGGTTTTGTCGTTACATTAACACTAATTAGGCAAAAATTGATAGGGAGTGGAACACCCTCTCTGATTGTTGTACAGCCATTACTCTTAGAACTGACAGTGTTTCAAATGAGACAAGTCAATGCTGATGCTGATAGAAGCACAGCTCAGGGAAAGTGTACTCTGTACTATGTGTTTACACTATGACCAAACAGAAATCCAATGTGACTTGTTATTGAACTTATCTCCTTCATAAAGGCTGATATATGAAGAATATGTTTCTGTGATGGACCTGAATTGGAGTCATTGGGTCTCTACAAAGATCCCATTTCTGTAACTTCCATTTAGCCTTTAGTATCATATTTATGGCAGCTTTCTTTGGCCAAGATATGCCAGTGAGGCCCACTAAACCACCAATCCCAGGTTGTTTTGCACAGCATCATGTTTCAGGGCATGGAAATGTCACCACAACCACCAAGCTACAAGTTTGTCAGACTAAGGCCCAATTGAATGTGAGCCAATTTTTTTGCTGATTAATGATTCAGATCGGATCTGATCTATGAATAAAACGCATGCATCTGGATATTTTGAAATCGGAATCAAGTCTCATTTAAATGCAGAAATAAACCAAATCTACAGAGGCATGTCAGATTTTCTGGTCAATAGTTAACTCAACATTACTAAACTGAGAATTTACAGCTTCAAATCACAACAAACAGTTCAACATGGTTTAAATCTTAGTCTACAAAATCATTTGGTCGTTTAAAGTTTTAAGCCATCAATAAGCCCATTTCACTGAGTCCAACTTTTTTTTACTTTGCACTACAACTGAATTGGAATAGAGCATCAAGACCTGTAGTGCAAACGAGGCCAAGAACATCACAGAAGACAAGAGAAGTCAAGGTACAATCGCAGAACAATGGTGCATCAGTCCTCATTGGCACCTAAAACACTGAGAAAATTGGTAAGAATGGGAAATGTTTGTTGACTTCATAGAGATTCATTCAAACCAATCGTCGAACAAGCCAAACGTTTGCGAATGCAAAGTTTCGTAGTTCTTTAAAAATCACATGTTATTTTTTTTCTCCAGAGCTTCACTTAGTTTCTGAAATCTGGATAACTTAAAGCAATCAGATTCTGGCTTCAACCTTCCTGAAAGGATTTCAGTTAAGCCCTTTACCCCATGTTAATGCTCACAACGGAGAGCAAGAACTGGAAGTCAGGCTAAAAACCTTTACACACCAAATAGAATTTTCGAAACGCGCCTTGATCAAAAAACATGGGTGCCAACAGGAGCTCACACATTATGCATTTAGCAGACACTTTGATCCAAAGCGACTTACATGTGAAAGAATGAACACATTTTTGTCAGTTCTTGCTTTCCTCGGTATATGAACCCACGACCTTTGCGTTGTTCGTGTAATGCTCTACCAACTGAGCCACAGGAAATTTAGTTGACTGGCCAAGTGGTGCCAACGATAAAGAGTTTTGTACTGCCATATCGGACCCGTTTTTCGTAAAGAGAACAACCAATAAAAACTGGCTCTTTTGATGCCATGATTTGGACGTTAAAGAGAGACTCGGTGTGGCTCTTCCCACATTTTCATAGCAACTTTGCACTGGAAACAGGAAAGAAATACAGCGTCAAAAAATCCTCCCTTTTCTCCAAATTTTTTCAGTATAAATTGCTCGACATCCATTATTTTTTCCATGTGTTTTACTTGATTTCTTCTCTCGTCGTCTTCATCTTTCCTGTTTCCCTGTGTGATGCGGAGTGCATCTGTTGTATCGTATATGCCATCTTCAGGCAGGGAGAATCATTACATCAATATTTCCTTATTTCCTTGACCCAAACGAAGAGTACACTACTGAGAGGCCATTCAAGTATTTTGCAAGAATCTCAATTTGTTTTAGTGTGCAGAGGCCTAGAGTGAAGACAAGAGAGGCAATGAACAACATATGCCCTCGTTCTTACAAGACCGATAAAATCTTTGCCATCCAATCTCCATCTGCTTGGCTCTCTTGGTGGAGTTTGGTTGGAAATTCAGCAAATCCTTACTACCAACTTCTATGCTCTTGCTCACTCACTTATCTGCTGTCAGAAATGAACAAAGCAACAAACTTAAATTTAGAGGGTTCTCAAAGGGGCTGTTGAATGCAGTGAAAGAAAAAAAAAGACTTCAACCAGTGAATGCCATGTCAATTCTGAACGATTCATCCTTCTATGCAGATCATGGCACATTCACATTGGGTTATTGATTTCAGTCCTGGAAAAAAAAATGCTGAGCGCTGTTTTAAAAATAGTCACAATACATAAGTAGTGTTCTCCACCCCCACCACAAGTTTTACATTCGACTTATGCTTACCCCCCGTACTCAATGAATTGGCCAAATCAACATTTTTGATGAACAATATTTTTAGATTGGGACAATTTAACATTTTATACATTATTTTTGTGTTTTCACACAAACAATTAAAAAATTGTGCATATTGTATTTCTTTTTGCAGGTTTGTTAAAAGCATCTCAATTTCTACAAGGAATAGGCATTTCGACAACAAATATAGAAAAAATAAATTCATTATTTGACGACATTTATAATAAAAATAGTATGTAGTTAATGCCCTGTTTCAAATGGGGCTAATGTACAATGAGATCAAGCAAAGAAAGCTGTGCCTTAGAGATTAGAGTTCTCTGAGAAAGTGACCATGCGTATGTTTCCATCAGCTGCACAAATGTGTAATTGACAAATTGAATAAAATTGAAGAGAAAAGGACGAATTGAAGCAATTACTCCTCTGAGAGAAAGAAAGATTGCTGGATAACAGACCGAAGTGGCTCAGATCAAAAATTTTCCATGTGCACTGTAAACATGATAAAGGAAATTCGTAGAATCTATATCTATCTATCTATCTATACACATACATATATATATATAAACATACATATATATACATACACACACGCACACACACACACACAAACCCAGACGAATTCTATGAGTTTCCGTTTCCTCAAATTAATCTTATATCTCAGCAGCACACACCACCAAAAATAAACACACATACAAAAATACAATGAAAAACTGTCACTGACACTAAAGGAATCTGCTGATCACTGTGTGAAAGGAAAAGAGAGCAAAAGAGCGAATGAAAGAGACATGTCAGGTCTTTAGAAGAGTTAACAATAATAAATCAGAAATCACACAAGATTGTCAAATCGCTTGTTTTCTCGAAATAAAAAAACCTTCATAAGAGAACATAATGAGATTGGAGCATGTGTGGAGTGACTGACAAAGAAGGAAGGGCTATAACTATTAAATTTATGTTGCTTCTCTCACCTGCCCCAGCCCCTGAGCCTTCCCCTTGCTACTAATGTCTAAGGGAAGACTAATGAATTGGGACACCCCTACAAAGCCGTATACTTAATAAAACCCTTGGAACCAAGGGCTAGGGGAAGGGCTGGAAAATTGGGACACCCCTTCGAAGCTGTATACAAAATACAATGGGTCATATGCATTTTTAATAGATTATTAATGCATTTATGCCAAGAACTCCAACGTACGTAACTGGAATGAGCATGTAGGAAATCCATCTTACACTTTTATATAAATTGTTGGTTGAACTGACACATCATGTGGTATCCAGGGGAATTATAGTTATTTGATGTAGCCATTGAAAAGAGAATTGGGACACCTCTTTGCCTCACTTTAACATGAAATAAAGATGGGAAAGGCTAATGGTTTGGGGCAAGTGAAAGAAATGGAACAGTCCAAGTGCTCCATAATTCATTTTGACAAGTGTTTTCTTGGTTCTTCTTTATAACGATGTTACCCATTTTAAAATAACCATAAACAAGATATGTGCAAGACATTGAGCTCTGAAATAGCCGGAGACTGAAATGAAAGCAGGAGCCTCCTAAAACTGAATGGCACACTAAAAGAAGACTGAAATGACTGCATACTTTCTTGAATGCACACAATGTGACACACAGAAAGAAAGACACAGAGAGGATGCTATTTCACCACAGCCTGTCTGTTCCTAACAAGGACAACGATCAGACCAAAGAGCAAATCCACAGCAAAAAAAAAAAAAAAGACAGGAAACCTCTTATATAACACAGTGACTGGGAATTTATTTGGTTTCTCCGCTTAAGGAACATCAGAACACTATTTTTGCTAAATTGTAGTAAGAATATCACTGGTTTAGCTAATCTGAACTACTACTTGGGGGCTTTAACTTTTCATCAGGCATAAGGTCTATAACAGCACAAAGGGCCCCTCTTAAAGGGAAAATTGTCTTGTTATCTGTATAAGAGACATCAGCCCATAAATGCAACCATTAAATCAATCCAACAATCAAATCAAAGAAGTGAATAAGGATAACAGGGAACAGAATGTTGGTCAACGCAAGAGAGGAATGGGCTAGAAGATCATCACAAAGCAGCAGGATTATAACTAAAACGATTGCGATTGATTGGAATATTGCTCTGTCTGGGGCTCAAGATCCCACTACATGAAGTTTAAGGTTAGTAATAAGCCCAGACCTACAAAGCAAAATCTTGTTTGTGATCTAAAAGAAAAGGATTGGAAACATTCATAGGATCGAAACCATCTGCAAACTTCCCCTGCTCTAGCAGGAAAAGGGACTCATCTTAATTCATCAATGTGGAGAACTTTGGTGAAATCGCGGTGGTAAGATGGACCCCAAAACAAACTTGTTTAAGGGTGGGATGGTGTTTTTGATTCATACAAGATGGTGTTTTTCTCCTTCAAACACAGTGCGGGGAACATTAAGGGTGGGGTGGTTTTTTATAACAAGAGGACATAAAAATTGCCCTTGTATCAGACGCAGAATGGAGATTAACGTCACTTTCAGTTCACAGAGACCGGTCCACATTAACTCGGTTATTTTGAATTTGAGGATTTTTCTGTAAAGGTATGCTGTTCTTCAATAAGTAAACACAGTATTGTTTTCATTAAGCCTTTTTAAATTGACAGCCATTGTGTGTTGTTTTGAGTATGCTAGAAACACCATTGAAACAGGTCTACCTGGGTGTTGAAGGTAGATTTTGTCTTTGTCGTCATTGTTTGACTAATAGCAGACTAAATGAGGACTACATTGCTTTTTCCTGTGAACTGATTGGTTACAACATGTTACGTGCTTCATAATTGGTTTAAATGATTAAACTGCCTCAAACGATGACTTGAAGTACCACTCACTCATAGCCTCCTCCTGTCATGCCCCCTCCTTACCTCCCCTTTCAAAGTATGATTCTATGCAGCAAAGTTGAAATTATTTGTTTGAGAAACATGACTTTCCATAGCTTTTAATTAGCATTTGTTTTCCTTTCTTTGGGCAGTCTGTAGAATGAGTTCCTTGAGGTCTTTGAAAATCAGTTTGTGCAGTCAATCACACGACAGCTTTTCTCCCATTTTCAGAGCTTTCACATGCATTCCCACTAGTGCATGAACAGGCTTTTTGGTGCCTACTTCCATGGCGAACAGGCATGGCATCATGCGCATCTATAGACAGAGCTGCATACTGGAAAATCTTAAATAAGGATAGCACGGTATGGATCTGTATTCCAACAAAAAAAGTCAATATAATGGAAAATCAAATAAAATGTTTGTGAATAAAGCACCGTTTACAACTAACGAGTCCAAGAGAACCAAATCGCCACTTCCTGGTTCAAATATAAAAGGAAAAATGGAAGTCGCTGCATTAGAAGAAGGCCTTTTTCATATATAATAACTTACTTGTGTCTTAGAACACGTAGAAGAAACTAAATACACCCAGTCATGTCATCTTGCTTTTGGAGGCAGGAGACTGCTCTTTGGGAACGCAGCCAGTAAAGACAGTTCTGGGAGGTGATAAAGGCTAAGGAATTTTAGAATGACCAAAACAACATTACAGATGTTGTGCAATGAAATCGTTCTGTTGGCTACTCCATTAATGCCGCCCCAGTTCAGACAGAAAAACACACAGCTATTGTGCAGTATCTGTATTGCTCCACCGTAATTTTTTGTTAATTGAATTTGCATGAAACATTTTCACATAATTGGATACTTATGAGGTTTGGATTCCTTTTCAATGAAATCTTTAATCCCAAAAAACTGCTACAAACACAGTAAAATGTAACAATTGTGAATCTCATTAACACTATTAAATCCGTTTCTATTCATTCCAGGAGAGCTGTAAAGGGTCTGTTTATTTCCTTCTGTGTAGGGAGTATCTTTCTCTCACTGTACGTGCTCATGGGACTGCCACATGCATCCTGCTTGATAGCAACTTCTGCCGAAACATAATACTTTAGGAACCAAGGCATTAAAAACATCTGGCTTCTTGCTGACTTCACCCATCAGCATAGACTTCATCCCTCTTTAGTTTCAAGCCTTTAGCCATCAGCATTGTTTATACCATTGAAAAAGTCCTAGCATAACAGCCAGCTGA